GAAGTTGGCAATTCCTCACTTTGATTTTAAGCCATTTCATGATGAACCAAAATTCAAATTCAAGCCTAGGCTGCATAATATTTGCTTTGCAGGCCTCAAACTTGTTTCTCACTCCATAATTAAATGTTTACACAGTTGATAGAGCTTCTATCCAAGCATTATAGTCTTTGTCCAAGCTACAATTCCATTTATGGCACAAAGTTGCCATTTCCATTTTGATAAAGCATAACTTTTGCAATTGTCAACTCCTTGAGCTTTGAACTTGTTATTTCTACACACACAAACCCTATAAACCAAAAGCAATGTGTCTAAAACTTTTACCAACTCAGACCAGGCTTGTACAAACACTTAGGGACTTGTCTCCTCACTTTGCTTCAAAAGCAAGTTATAGAGCCAAAAGGCTATAACTCAGAAACCTGGTGTAGAATTGATCAAAAACCTTTTCTATACTTATACACAAATGTATTGCAACCTAGAACACGAATGCTAAGGCTCAGAAAGTCTCCCAAACACTCTACCATTAAAAATATGCCATGGCTTGACAGTTTTGCACCTTACATAGCAATCTCAAAAACCACTTGTGAGTTTTGAGTTTTAACCACCTAAACACTTAATATACATCATATCTAAGTGTTTCAGACCCCTGTTCCCTCACTATAACTCCTCCTCCTCCATCCATCATTTTCAAATTTCAAGCTTGCAGGTTGACTTGAGTAGGGAGATTCAGAGACTTTCAAGACCAAGTAAGGATTGGAATACACTCAGGGAGGTCCAGGCAAGCTAAACAGATCCCATGCCTTCTTAAAACGTGCTCAAACTCCATTCACAGTCTCAAATGAAAGAGGTAAAAACTCAAACTTCTATCTTTTCATACAAGCATCATTTGGTCTTGATTTGTGAAAACAAAATATAGATATCCTTGCACTGAAGCTATCCATGTTCATAGTTTTCATTTATATTAACCATGTACAGAGAATTTTGGATTTGAAATTTCTGTAAAAATTAGGTTTCAAATTAGGGCCAGTAAAATTAGCTTTGATCTTTGACTTTTAGTTTACATAAATTATATGGTTGAAATCGTGGGAAGAAACACTATCACTTTCATGTTTGGATTTTCCATTTTCATGGAGAAATGAGAGAGATACAGGTGGTCCGAACATGGCTCAAGGTTGAAGATGAAGTTGCGTTCAGGAGGCGTTTTATAATATATATTTGTGCTTTTGTTTATATTAACGGATGTACAGCCACCCTAGTGGTAAGGCAGCGCACAAAAATGCTAGAGGTCATGGGTTCGAGCCTCCGCGCGCTGCCTTTTGCAATTTTCCATATTTTTTCCAACTTTTTTTGTTGTTTTTGCAGCGTGGGCTTCTGGACTTTGGGCCTTGTGTTTTTTTGCTAACCTCCTGCCTCTTATTTGCTTGCAGCACCCCTGGCCCATATTAATTTTATTTATTTATTTTACCTTTCATTTTATTTTAATTAAATATAGTTTCTTAATATTAAAAAATAACAAAAAATATAAAAATGATAGATTTTATTTGAATTTTTTTATTTCATTTTTATCAATAAAAACAATATTTTTTTTCTTTAGCTATATATATATTATCTATTTTTTTATTAAATAAACTTGTAAATTAAATTAACTAGGTTAAATATTTATTTTTCCTTCATATCCATTAAATATTTTATTTTAACATAAAAAAGACCAAAAAATATTTCATAAATGCCATGTATTATTTTCAAAGACAAAAATACAAAAAAAAATACTTAATTTTCTTAAAGAAATTTATTTCCTTTTAATAAAATAGAATTAGGGTTTAATCAAAATCCTTTCTAAAAATAATTTCCTTTCCTAATTAATTTGAGTTTAATCTTGATTTATTTATTAGGTTTAGGTTAAAACTTTTTTCACATAAAAAACCAAACAAAATCTTCTTTTGCATTTACATATCTTTGCATATTTAATTTATCTTGTATATTATTTATTCCAATATTTGTACAAATTAAATTTGGTTGTAATAGATTAATTAGGTTTATATTATTGCAATCCCCATTCATAAATTGTATACCCCCTCCCACAAAGTGTTGTAATAGCATAGTAATCTTTAAATTTCGTAATTTGTCGCTTTTATATAATATACTAGTAATTAGGGTTTGTATGGCAAGATAAAACCAATCAAATAGAAAACCCTGATTCAAGACAAAATCAAGCATGAAAATGACACACTTGCACACAAACACCCCTAGGGTTACTTCACTTGGTTGCCTTATACAAAATGGCCATATTATGCATGTAAAGTATCTTAGCAAGATAAACAAATACAAGATCATACTCTCTCGATGACGCTATTTAAAGTTGTCTTACAAAATGATCTTAGTCCCTCAAAAAATGCTAAGATACCTTGCAACATTGCTAATCATGGCTATACGATGACCCACGCCCGTCCCTTTTACATCCAAAGATAGGGTAGCTTACCAAATCAATGGTAAGACAACAATATCAAAGGAAAAGAAAATAAACAAGAAAGACATTTGAGTAGGTTGTTTGCTCTTAATTACTTGCTCCATTTCAAAACAAACATCCTTGCTATTTTCAAAACAAACACATACACTTTCAAACATCTTACAAAATTGAAAACATTTTCAAAAGATCAAACATCTTTGTATACATTCTTACAAACAAGAATCATTACGAATATTTCCTAAACAATGGCCTCTTTACAAAGTAATTTCAAAAACCACATCAAGCACAATTTCAAACAAAAAGCAAGTGATCTAACAAGTAACTAAGAGCCCATGGAAAACCATGGATGAAAAGGGTGATAATACCTTCCCTTTTTATAATTTACCCCCCGAACTCAAGAAACAATCTCAAAGGTATTTCCTTTGCTTTTTCACCTTTCCTTTTGGATAAAAGAAAAGTCGGTGGCGACTCTTGCTAAACCGCAACATTTGCGATCAAACGCAAAACCATCAAGTCAGTTCTCCCACCGTATCACAACCATGTGAATATATTCATATATTCATGTAGCAATTTGATCAATCATTCTTTGACACTTTTCTCCAATGTTTCCCCTAGCTTGATCTCTTTCAGATCTTCCTCTGTGCCAAGGTTAATGGTTGTCATACCCCAATTTTTGACCTAAGATCCCATCTCCCATCTGTGTCATTACATAACAAGTGTTCACAAGCAATTTGACCTATTTTTTGCCATTTCTCGAGTCAGATTTCAAAAATTCATAACTTCTTCAAATTTCGACATTTTTAGTGGTTCTTTTACACATGATTCTCCTTGACAACATCCACAACTTTTCTTTACAAGTAAAGAGATGATTATTTTTGAAATGCCACAAAAGAATGAAAACGTTAGAAGTCGCTTTATGAATTTAATGAAATTTGATCATGTCTTGTCCAACCTTTACCAAATCGTGCATAGCGCATATTTTTTCGTCTTTTATTTATCATTTTTGTCTTATTTGAAAAAAAATCTAAAAAAATATGTATTTTAGTTCATGTCACTCTTTACTATCGCATTATTAGAAAAATCACAAAAATATTTATAATTAGCATTATAGTATTTTTAAATTTGCAATTCTTAATTCAAAAAAAAATATCAAAAAATATTATAATTTTATTGGTTTCATTTAGATTTGTATTTTAGTATAGATTTTAATCCAAAAAAATCTCAAAAAATATAGTTAATATCTTTTCCTTTATTTTACATTTTTTTATTCTTTTTGGTCATTATAGTTTTAGCTTCTTTTAATCCAATATTAATTTTGATTTGATTCCAATTTTAATTCAATTTTTAAAATTGAATTAATATTAAAATTAAAATAAAATTAATTTTGTTTGCATCTTATTTTTATTATTCTTCTGTTTTGTATTACTAACAAATTGTCTTTTATCATTATTATTACTATTGTCTTTGTTTTATTGTTTTATAAAGTTGTGGTCCCAAAACCAAATTTTTTTGAACTTGCAAAACCAGTCCCTATCCCTACATAAGTAACCAAATAAAACAGTCCAAATTTGTTGTCCTAAAGGCCCCAAGCTTGCTGCTACTTCACTCCAAAACCTGCATAAAAAACCACTCTGCAAACAGCCTTTTACTATCTTTGCTGTCCAAAAACTTGCCCAAAATGAAACCATAAATCCCTGCATCAAGAAAGCATAAGGCAGTTGACATAAACTAGAATTCAAGTTATATTTGGCTCCAATTTTCCCTCCGATTATATCATACATTCACTATAAAAACAGAAGCAAATGGTGAAGAGCAAGGAGGAGATATTACACAATAAAAAAAAAAACCAATCTACAAAAAATTAGCAACTTACTTTTTATTTGGTTCAAGAGGCAACTCAGTAACATTCCAACTTCCATCTTCATTCGATTCTCCAGACTGCCTCTTATATAATAAAATCAACCCATACTCACCATCTCATATTCATAACTCTTTACGTCCCCTTCTGTAGCCTCACCGTAATAAACTACCATCTCTCCATTGCCATCATCCTCAAGCTTGTTTCGATACACCATAATCGTAATGCTTTCATCCCTTTCCGTCAATTTTCTGGACATTCCTCTAGCAATTCAACATACTCCCTAATGTTCCCTCTTCTACTCACAGCACACTCCCATCGTGCAACATCCATCTTCCGCCCTTCAATTCCTCACTTCTATCTGCAGCAACAACTCACGACCGTGATTCTGCTCCACAACCACCATCAACATCCCCTTTCATCTATCCTTCCGTCCTGCACCATAAATCTCACACATAATCTCAGTAATCGCAGATTCCTTTGCTGTATCACTTACCGTAATAACCAACCGTCAATTTCCTCCGCTCGACACCCACGCAATGAAATTCCATTTCCTCTCCACTTCCGCTCACCTCACGGCTACTCCCTCCATTCCATCGAGAAAAAAAACAAAGAAGAGGGAATTCAATTGAAGCTCACAACTGATGCGTTGTAACCATTGACCAACTGCACATCCTCTCAACCGCCATCATCAACATCAACAATAATGTTACAACAACTCCACTGCAGATTGCTTGCAACGGCCCATCTGATCGGCAGAAACGTCATCAACCTCCTCCACGATAAACTGCCTCCCCGTCCGCACGCGACCACTGCGTTGTTTCCTTCAGCGGAGCTCAGGCAACCCGCGACTACCTCTGCAACTCCTCCGTCATAGAACCAGATCCCACCATGGCCAAGCTTCGCCACTGTCAGCGAATCGACCCACACCAAAAACACCCTCCAAACACCGCGAGCTCTTCCATTCAGATCCGAGCGGACCACCACCAAGCTTCGCCACGATTTCATGGGTTTTCAATCAGGTTCTATTCCTTTTTTTCCATTGAGAAACAAGTAGCTTACATGTTTTTTTTAAATATTGAGGAATATGTATGAGAAGAAGGAAAGGGATGAAGTTTGGGCTCCGAGAAAAGAAGGAGAAAAGTCAAAGATTGTTCTGTTTTTCTTTCTCTACCTTAGATAATATGTGGTTCTTTTCCCTTTTAATTTTAACTTAATGGCATGCGTAACGTAGGTATTGGTTGAACATTACAAGTTTAAAAAATGAAAAAAGAAACAAAAACAGCTACTGGCAGCATGCGCCGCCCCAAGGTGTGGTATGTTTGTTTTTTTTTAGTTTAATTTCATTATTTATTATTAGGAATTAGGGTTGGTACTTGTTTGAGCTAAGAGCTTTGTCTTTCTTTCTTTTTTATTAATCTTTTTCCCTTTTCATAAAAAATAAAAAATAATAATAATATGTTTAGAATTTAAGTTTTAATTTTCTTTTAGTATTTTCATTACCTAAAAATTCATATAAAAATACAAAAAAAAATCAATTACATTACTAATAATTTATTAAACTAATTTTCCTTTTATTGGTTATTTAGAATAGTTAACTTTATAGGTAATTTCGTTAGTTTATTGATTAAATTTTTGATTTGGTTGTATTGTTTGTTTAATTGGATTCTTAATCGAACTTTCAATCTTATTCATCCTCATTCATTAAAAACATAGGATAATTTTCCCAAATATCCAATTTCTTCAAAAAAAACTCACACCTTTTAAGTTAAAACTTCGACATTAGGTCTTCGTATCTTCAAAAACTCGTCCATACCCATTTTCGGCCAAAACAATTTATTTTTAATCAAACAAACATTTTAATAAACAGATATTTCAAAAGGTTCTTATAGAATACTATAGATACATTGGGTGCTAACACCTTCCCATTGTATAACCAACCCCCGAACCATAGACCTCTTTTTCAAAAACGCCTTGTATTTTCATTACTTTTAAAAGTATTATTTTACATTGCATACTTTAGGGTTTTATTTCGCTCTTTCCCCTTTTCCCTTGGAAATAATAAAGCGCGGTGGCGACTCTTGCTTTTGTGAGTCAAGTTAATTAATAGCTTGATCTCCGATTTTCACCGCTACAATGGTCTCGATAGATTCCTAGTATGGTTGTATATTGTCAGCTTTTTGCTTTATCTCCCTCGCGGATTCTTTAGGAAGTTCAAGATCTTCATCATCTTCCTCTTTCGCTTAGTTGATGGGTGTATAAAAATTGTATCGGATAGCAGCAGTAACACTATCAGTGATTTTGGGCATGGATCTGCATATTTATCATGTTTCGGTGCAGTTTTTAGTATGTGAATTTTGGAAATTGCATATGAAGAAAAGTATTGTCATTTTTAAATATAAGAGATAAATGTAAGAGAAAGACAAAGATATTAATTGAATGTGAAATATAACTTTTATTAGTCGTGAATAGTGTTTGAAAAAAATTGGGGGGCCCTTACAAGCAACCCCTATGCCTCAAGATTGACACAGGTTCTTTTAAAAACAAGAAAAATTACTTTGGAAATAAAAGGATCTCTGGAATCTCCACGGGGTTCCAATTCTTGAGTTATTCGCCTGGGGCGCATTCATGGATGAAGTTGGACGCCTTCTTGATGTTGCCCTCGTCAGATATCATTTCCACCTATTTGCCATGCTCCACTCCTTTGTTGATGAAGGTCTCCTGGATTGTAAGAAATCGTGTTTTGCCTTTCAGAGTAGCCTTTGATGATTCGTAGCCCAAAACAAAATGATTCTTCGTCTCGGGTATTTCTGGGAGCTTACCCCAGCCCTTTAAGGTACCACTTTCCACCGCTATTTTCAAATCTTTCCACGAAGCCATAGTAGTTTTCTTGATTTTTTTCCACCGGTAGGGTCACCATTGAAGAAACCTCTAAGACTTGAAATGGTGTCGCTATGCAGTCTTCGTCAGCACTGATATATCTGTAGGACTTTATATGACTTACAAAGATGTCCTATTCACCATTGATTATAACCAATCTTCCTTCAAAGAAGACCCTCAGTTTTTTATGTAAAGTTGAAGTGACCGCCCCTACTGCATGAATCCACAGTCGTCCGAGTAAACATGTATACGCTGGTTCTATATCCATGACTTAAAAAGTGATATAAAACATATGTGGGCCGATCTTGACAGGAAGGTCCACTTCCCCAAATACTAAACTCTGAGAACTGTCAAAAGGTTTAACTATCATAGAACATGGCCTTATTACAACACCATCCAGCATTAACTTCATCAACCTAGATGTTAATAATACATTGAGGGTAGAACCAGTATCGGTGAGTATCCTGGACAGGCTTGTAGTACCTATCTGAATAGAGATGTGCAATTCCTTGTTGTGAGTTTTGCCTTGTGGAGGTAACTCACTATCATTAAAACCCAGATATGATCTAGATGTTAGATTTGCTACGACGTTGTCAAATTGGTTTACAGTAATCTCCTCTACGACATGAGCAGAACTCAGAACCTTCATTAGAGAGTCTTGATGCGCTTCTGAATTAATGAGTAACGAGAGTATAGAAATTTTGGATGGGGTTTCGTGAAGTTGATGCACCACCCTATAATCACTTCTTTTGATTATTTTCAAAAATTATTTTGCCTCTTGCTCAGTAAAGTTCTTGCTCAGAGGCTCTTGTTCTTAATTTTCTTCCACCACGGCTTTTTCTTTATCTTTCACCAACGTATCATCCTTATGTTTCATCACAGCATCATTCTTTTTTTGCAGTTCGGAGCGGAAGATTAGGCCACTGCGATTCATGCCCCCTGTTCCTGCTATATTTGTGATTGCAGGTCCTTGACTTGTTGACGACTCACATTCTTGCTTTAAACCATTGACTTATATAGTATAATCATGACTCCATGGTACTGCTTTATCACTTTCGTAAGGGGTAGGAGATGGTCCCCTAATTACTATTGTAGTCTTTGAAGCTATTGGTATCCTCAGAGTTTATCTTGGTGTTATTACTGGTGTCTCTGTTGATTCTCCTCATGGAATCACAAGAGTCTTCTTATTAAGGTTTGTCCCTTAGAAAGGAACTACCAATGGCTTATTTGTACTTCCTTCGACCGCAGCTACATATTCTTCTTTAGGGAAAGATCCAAATTAGATTATCCCTTTGTCCACCAATTTTTCAATGTCTTTCCAAAAGATTCATTATGTTCCAAAAGGAACCCACACTTCAACAGATATTCCTTCAACAAAGTTATTTGGTTTCCCCAAAGTTAGTGACTACTTCTATTTCATTTATTGCAGGTTCACCATGCGGAGGCATGGGGTTTGACTTGATATTTGGTTTATCAAAAGTGATATCCTAAGAATCTAACAAATCTTGAACCTTATGTTTAAAGGCCCAACATTTTTATATAGTATGCCCGACAGAATTGGCATGATACTCACATATGGCATTGGCATCATACCTTGGTGGGGGTGCCCCTATTCGAGGAGCTAGAGGTCTTAGCTCTACCAAAGAAACCTTGACCAAGTGTTGCAATAATTGACTGTGTAACATAGGGAGCGGGTCAAACTTTCGTGGTGGTCTTTCAAGTCTGTTCTATTGTTGTTCTCATGGAATTATTAATGGTTGTTGTGCCATTGGTTGCGAGGCTACAACATTAATTTCTCCCTCCTTCTTTTTTGAGAAGTTAGGGACATGTCTTTTTGCATTATCAGGGGTACTAGATGATGCCCCTTATATCTTCCTGCTCTTTATACCAGCTTTAATCTTTTCACCAATAGTTACTAAATCAGAGAATCCGAAAGAGACGCTTCCTACCATCTTTTCATAGTACAACCCTTGTAAAGTTCCCATGAACATATTGACTAATTCTTTCTCCAGAAGTGGTGGTTGTACTCGGGCTTCCATTTCTCTCCATCTTTGAGAATATTCCTTGAAAGACTCCTCCTTTTTATGAGACAATTTATGGAGTTGCATGCGATTAGGTACCATGTCCAAGTTGTACTTGTACTATCTCAGGAAGGTGTTAACAAGATCTGCCCATGTATGGATACACACCCGTTCCAACTGCATGTACCAATCTAGGTATTCCCCACTCAAGTTGTCTTGAAAATAATGGATCATCAGCTTCTGGTCTTGAGCATAGGCGTGCATCTTTCTGCAATACATGCGCAGATGGTTCCTTGGACAAGTGAGCCACTTGTATTTTCCAAAGTCAAGTAGTACTTTGTATTTCAGCGGCATCACCACATTAGGAACTAGACCCATTTCAAGAGAATCTACATCGAAAGCATTGTAACCCTCCACAACTTTTAACCTTTCTTCTAGAGCTTTGTACTGGTTGAGCGCTAGTGAATTTTTAGTAGCATGAGCATGGGCTGTTCTTTAAGGTGCTTGATTGACATCCTATAATTGTGGTCTCCATATTACAAGTTTAAGTAGTTGTCTGCATTGTTAATCAGAATTTCCAAGGTATGAGATACCCCTACCTTTGGTGGAGGTGGACCCAACCCTTTAGTATCACCTTGTCTTGTTTCCTGTTGAGCCATAGTTGACTTTTAAGGTTCTGCTTCTGGTTTTTTCCTTGTTTGGTGACCGCTTGATGCACAAATGGTCTGGGCTATTTCTTCAAAGGCTACTCTAGGGATTTGCTCCCGTCTTTCAATGATGTTCTTCAAGGCTAGAATAAATTGACTCATATCTCCTTTCATTGAGTCAATGTTGTCCTTCACCTGCTCTAAATCCTCCTTGAAGGCCACTTGATTCTCTTCAATTTTTTCTATCACTTTTTGTTGATGGGCTCTTGTCAGATATGGCGGTTGGAGAGGCAGTGCTTTTCTCCTACCAATGGTTTAACTAGAGAAGGTTTTGAAAAACCATGAGTTTTTTGTTTGTTATGAGTTTATGAGATGCAAATGTTTGTGAATGCACGAATGTGTATGAATATGATAAGAGTTTCGTCTTTGAATGTCTTATTCACTTGGATATACACGTTTT